GGCAGATCATGTGTAACAAATCTACTATCAGCTTGGGACAACTGGACATCATGCTGGGATATGAATGTACCAGTCCATGTGGTCTTCCTAGACTTTCAGAAGGCATTTGACACAGTTCACCATGACCTTCTACATAAAATAAGTCAAGCAGGTATAGGTAAGCCACTTCTGTCATGGTTAAAGGACTACCTAGCTGAAAGACAATTTTTCACTAAGGTCATTGAGTCCAGTTATCTTGGCATAGTTCGTCATCAGGAGTGTCGCAGGGTTCTATCCGAGGTTCACTGACGTTTTTTGATTTTTATCAATGATCTACCACGCCGTGTAAGCGGCCTGACTATTCTATACGTTGACGACGTAAAGATATGGAGAGCGATAAAGTGTCTGGAGGACTCAGATAGATTGCAAGAAGATCTAAAGATTCTGGAAGACTGAACGGTTACCAGTAGCATGACTTTCAACCTGAAAAGTGCAAAGTAGTAAAGTTACACGCCTGTGGACTGCAGAATGCAATTTACACCTTGTGCAATGAAAGCTTGTCCTGCACAACGTCGGAATGCGACTTAGGTCTAGTTCTAACGGAAACAATGGACACAAGCGTAAATTACACGGAGGACGTAGCCAGGGCATATGCGGTACTACGCTTTACACATAGGCAGTTAGGTGAGTCCACTCCTGAGCTCTTTCCAAGGTTGTACAAAACATACGTCAGACCACACCTTGAGGTGCATAATATTACTGCATCCCAAATGCTTAGAAGATACACCAACCTGTTGGAAAGAGTCCAAAGACGAGTAACGAAAGGAGTGGTTGGTCTCCGAAACAAACCATATGGTAAAAGGCTACAGAAATTAGGCCTATTCACAATTAGCTACCGTTGGCTAAAGGGAGATTTGACTACTGCCTATAACATAATAAATGGTCAGAATCACCGAAACAAAGGTGTTCTGCCATTGAGTAGGTATAAGCTTCCTCGTGGAAATCCCAGAAGGATGGCTCACCACAGGGCAAGGGCCCGGGTGCGCTCCCACTTCTGATGGTTTGCCGTCCCTGGAATTCATCGCCGGCAGATGCAGCTTTAGAACCGTCTGTGGACGCCTTTAAGCGAAGGCCGGACAATCATGCAGTGACACAAGGACTGCGTCCCAATGGTTTATCCCCTTAAAACCCCATACACCATTCAGGAGTAGACAACTAAGCTCGTCGTTTTACTTCTTTACATTCTCTCCCGTCTTACTCTCCTGAAAACTTTAACCACACCTATCATTATTACCGATATAAATATATATTTATCAACTTCAAATTAAATCAGCTGATTGTTGTCACACTTTCTTTATTTCTTTTTCTGCCTGTTAGTCTGAATAACTTCACTAATTATTATTATTATTATTATTATATAAGCTTTATTCCAAATCAGTACTTGTGATACAGAATGGAATTCTCAGCATTTTACTACAATATTGCATCCAGTTTTTTTACATTAACAATAAATAAAGTTCTACATAGTTTAAAGATTATCTCAACAACATATTAGTATGTCGGTAGCAAAGCCAAAATTAAAATGTTTGAAGGTGTTACAAAAGTAGATACTACTAGCATATTTACTGGCGTAAGCGATAGCAAAATGGTCGAGATATACAGAGTGTAAAAGAACGAACAAGAATGTTTTAAGTAGAGTTTGCAAGGAAGAGAGAAACAAAACAGCACATAACAAAAATAAATACAGAATGAAGAGAGAGAAAACGTTGTACCTATAAATGATGTGAGTTGGAAAGACGAGATTCATTGGTTCTAGTGACTATTTAATAAGTTAAAGGTTTCATGCCTGATGCATTCTTTATCACACAGAACACGGGCTAGGTAGGGTATGGATGAGTTTTTGTACTTACTAGTGCGGGCATATAGTTTCCTATATAGACTTCTTGTTTTCCCTGAAGAGATACATGGGGAGAGTTGTGAGTGTAGAGGGTGTTGTGAGTCAGATAAAATGGACTTCGCCCATTTTTCACATGAGTCCATGTGCCTGTCCACCAGAATGTTAACAAGCTGGCTAAGTGGCAAGCTGCTTACCCTGCTGACAACCTTTAACATCCTACGTAATAAGGTATAGTCTTTCTTCAATAGCCCAGGAAAGACTAAGGGGGAGCAATAGAGAATTATAGGCAGAATACGGGAGTTAACAAATTGTAGTAGTAAGGGTTGGGTTACACCAGAATGTCTTAACTTCTTGATGTAGAAGGTAAGACGGTATATTTTCTTGGAAATCGTCAAGATATGAGACGACCAGGAAAGATCAGAAGATAGAGTGACGCCTAGGTATTTAATTTCCGACTTAGTTTCTATTTCAGTGCCATCTATGTTGCACACCTCGTGAGCGCTAACCAGTTTGTTTAGGTCAGATTTATGCCTAAAGGTGAAATTAACTGTTTGGCATTTGGAGGGGTTTAAGGTTAGACCGTTTTCCTTGGACCATTGGCTAATTTCTGATAAGAAGCCATTTAGTTTAGAGCAGTCATTTTGACATTTGACAGGTAAAGATACAGTTAGGTCATCAGCATATTTGACAAAGTTAATATCATTTGAAGACGGTAGGTCATGTAGGAAGAATGAAAAGAGAAGTGGGGAGAGTACAGCACCTTGGGGGACACCAGATTCAGTGAGCACAGCAGAGGAGGATTGACCTTTGTATACGGTGTACTGCATTCTGTTTGAAAAGTAGGAATGCAACCACTTAGTGACCCAAGACTCGGTTTGTGTCGTGGAGAGCTTATTTAGCAAGAGACTTCTAGGTACAGAGTCGAAAGCAGAAGTGAAGTCAAGAAACGTGCAGCGGACATATTTGGCACCTTTGTCTAATGATGAGACAATACTGTTGTGTAAGACGGCTGCAGCGTCTAAAGTACTCCTACCCTGTCTGTAGGCAAATTGTTTGGGGTCTTCGAAGCTTTTAAGGGAGGGTTCGAGTTTAAGAAGTATTAGTTTTTCCATGAGCTTTAGAAACGGGGAAGTGATGGCGATGGGTCTGAACTTTACGTTCTTGCTATTTCCAGGTTTAGGGACAGGGACTATTTTAATGTCTTTCCATGGAACAGGTACAACGTTTTCGGAGAAAGAAGCATTTAGTATATTAGTTAGAGGAGAACATAAAGCATCTGCACATTGTTTTAGGACATATGCAGGTATGCCATCAGGGCCAAGACTATGTGAGGGCTTAAGAGTTTTAAGACATTTCAAAACATCGAGAGTATTGAAGTCCTGGAAGTTATCAGCTACAAGATTGGTAACATTAGAAGTGGTTATGGTAGAAGGAGAGCGTATAAAAGACAGATTAAGAGCATTAACATCACAAGAGGGAAAAACATTACATCGCTTACTATTGCCAGTAATTTCATTGAAAAGTTTCCACATGCTGTTTGGAGATTTGCATGATAAAAGTGTTTGGTTATAGATAGCATTAAGATTTTTGATTTCAGATTTGATTTGAGCTTTATCTTTTTAAGTCCTAACTTGTCTTTGCATTTATATAACATTTCTTTTTGCCTGCGAAGTTGTTTGAGATGGGGTGACGAGAAGCGGTCGAGGCGTTTGAACAGTGTTTGTTTGGGACAGCATATGTCAAGGCAGAACTTAAGATAATCCATTATATTGGTGATTGAATCATCTAATTTACTTTCATTAAATAAATCCCAGTTGGTATCTTTTAACATGCATCTTAGATTGAGTAAGTTGTCAGATGTGTAGCTTCTTTGTTGTGCCTTCGTGGACAGGTGTGAGAAGATTTTAATATGTGTTTTGCTGTATATTTTTGGCAAAACGCGGACAATGCAGTGATCGGAGTTATGTATCGGTGAACGTCTACGTGTTTCATATACTCCTTCATCATTGGTAAAAACCAAGTCAAGGGTTTTGTCAAGTCGAGTGGGAAATTTGACTATATTTGTGTGACCAAGAGCTTCAAGAAAGGAGCAATCTGATGTGTTGAAGTCTCCAGTAATAACGGATAGAGAGTTGTCGAAGTTGGCAGCAGCAAACATGGTGAATTCATCAGCAAAATTAGATAGATCAGATGGAGAGCAACTAGGAGAAATGTACATGTTTGTAATATAGAATTGTTTGTATTTGGGGATATGTTTGGGGCGACATTTGACAGTAATACAGTCAATGAAGTCATTTGAGAAGGTGAAGCAGATGTTATTTGAGACAGACCATTTGGAGTGAATAAAAGTTGCAACGCCACCACCATTTTTCTTATTACAACAGCGACGGTCTTGTCGAAATAAAATAAAGTCCTTTAGTGAGATAAGGTTGTCATCATACAGTTCATGCAACCACGTTTCTTGTAATGCGATTATGGCAGTGTTATGATACGTATCAGTTGACATCAGGGATTGTAGATACATTATCTTATTTGGTAGAGAGCGACAGTTTGAGTTCATTATGACGGGGACCGTAGTTAAGTGTATTGGTGTACGTTTGAGAGCTCTCTGCCAACCACTACGATGTTTCCTCCTTGGTTTCTTTGGAATATGAAAGTCGTTTGGTCGTAAATTATTAATAAAGTTACGAGAGTAAATGATTCTGCTAGAATTCATATTTAAGTGATAAGTGTATGCTGGTAAACGGGAAACTGGATGCAAAATGTAGATATTTTGTTAGCAGGCCCAAAAATTCAACAGGCCGCCAAGGTCAAGGTCGATTAATATCTGTCATCATTATTATTTTCACTATTATCATCCCTTTTCCTTTGGTGACGATACCGGAGGACTAACTGGTGAAAGGATCAACTCCATTCACAGTAGTAACAGTCTTATCACATCCTATACTACTTCCACATATAATTAATCCCAGCAATACTCCTTTTGGTACCAACCAAAGCTTCAACAGTCGAGTGGTGGGATGGACTACGCGGGAGTTTACCAAAGATCAGGAACCTATGCCTCACAATCAAGAGGCAAGCGCAAAGAAATCAAATTGGTTTATACTATCTCGTAAACACAATATTGGACATTGGACTGAGGGCGCGCAGTACTTATTTTAGAGTTACATACTGCTCAGGTTGAGTTTGCATGGAGGCAGCTGAAGACAAGCCCAAAAAGTCTAACAGGCCGAAAGGTAGCTTCACCATAAGTAAAGCGATTTCTTCCATTAGACACAGCATTTCATCAACAACGCCTGAAGTCCTGGAGACCAATTCTAACTGCCAGAAATACCTTTCCTATATTTCTCATACTCGGGGTTCTATGTGTTCCAGTAGGAATAGTTCTTCTTATATACTCAAATAGTGTAAGTTTTCATTTCGCCAATTACTCTTTATAAAGGTCCTCGAAGTAGTTGTAGAATACACTCACTGTGAAGATACCGCCAGACGTACTAAGTGTTCGGAGCAAGTCAGGCTTCCAGAGTTCTATCAGTCATACAATGTGTGTTCTTGCAAAGTTGATTTCGAACTAAAGGAAGACTTCAAGGTAAGACTGTTCATATGTTAATATGTGCGTACACTCTTACCGTTCTTACTTAAGTAGTAAAGGATAAACCTTATCATTTCATCTGATTTCATCTAATAGTCAGTCATCTTAACCCAAAACGAACGTAGCTACTTAGCCGTTAAATATTGCCGAAGATTACATGAGAAATAAAATTGCGTGTTTGTTAGTTGAGTCCACTAGAAAATTAGTCTGGTTGTAAAAATCAGATATAATTCAATTATTCCAGCTCTATCAAGGTTGTCTTAATCTGTTATACATTTAAGTTTTCCATTTTAGGCAGGTAAGAGATAAGTAGCTTAATTAGCATACTTATTAAGTGTCTGTGTACACGTTAGGGCAGCATATACACTGATAAACTGTCTGTTCTTCAAGATGGATAGAATTGATTGAAAATTGTTTACTACGTATATGTTTAGTTTTGTCTTGTTTATACTTCAAAAGTTAATATTTCTTTCTTCCACTGCCTAGAGGGCCTACTGATTTAAGGATTACATAACTTGTATGTACCTAAGTAATTGCATAATTCGTGGGAATTGGGAAACTGGCGAAGTTCAACAACAGCATCCCAGTAGTGTGGTCGCCCCAATTACCTTAAATGTATGCTAGTCGTTGGCTAGCGGCACCTGTAATTATCCTAGCTGAAATATTAACGCTATTTACCAGCTATGTGTCAAATTCCACCCAGATCACGTTTTTAAGTACTGTCTGTCTGTCTGGATTCAACATAGAACTTGGCCCCCAAGTGCAGCAGTTCGAGTTGCCACGTTCCAAATAGCACACAGAGGTAGACAAGAAGATGAGTGAAGAGAATTAATAGAGTTTGACAAATATAAGAGTGAAACAGAATGGGTAATGGTAGAAAGGAATATGAAAGATTACAGAGATTGAATACATCTGCGCCATTGACAACGATTTTGAGCCATGTCACCTATTGTCTCCAGCCATTGATTCCTAGAGTCGCGAGGGCCCCAACCCGGAAGTCTGCATCTCCCTACCTGACTCAGTTTAACTGTCAAGGATTTCATGGATTGATGCCATGTTTTTGTTTGGCCACCACTGGCTCTTTTCCAACCTGAACCTATATCAGCTAGTAATGCCCGTCGGGGGAGGCGGTGGTTAGGCATGCGCACCACGTGACCTAGCCATCTTAGTCTATGTAACTTTATAACCTCGTCGATTGATTTTCCCTCTTTGCCCAACACTCTACGCCTAACGTCAGTGTCTGTGTTTCAGAATGTTGACCTTTTTTATGACAGTGATAAATATATATGGCTTCGTTGTTTTTGATACTTTAATATCTTCGAAAATTGGAAACATTTTCCCATACCAATTTAAAACAAACAACACATTAATAAACTAGGATTTGATAAATTCATAAAATTTTGGTAGAATTCTTTGGTTGAATACTCTAAATTCATTATGTGTATGTTATTATTTTATTCCTCTACGTTCCTAGTGAAACGTAGGGCTTCAAGCTAGAGCTTTGAAGTTTTGGTAGCAGTGTTTACTTTTACGGGGTGGGGTTGCTAGCCTCATGCCCAACGCTCTTATTACCGGCGTAGTGAGGTAAAGATGTGCTTCGGCCGGGGGTCGAACCCCGGACCACATGCATGGTCGGCAAGCATTCTACTGCTAAGCCACCGACGCATGGTATATATATATATATATATATATATATATATATATATATATATATATATAACCAGAAATACATTGGAAGATATGTGACCGATAAGTAAGTGAGCTACTACGATGAGTCAGCCATGCAAAATGAACAGATGCGAATTTTTTACAGGTGAAGTTCAGACAGATAAGAGGAAAAGGATATCAGAGATTAAAGTTAAGATGATAATGGATTACGATTCAGTTTCATTACTTAGATAAACACGTAGATATCAGAGATAACTTGAAAATGTCAGGAGTCGGCAAACTGAATGATAATAGTAACAATAATTATGAAATGAGTGAAGATAATTGTACTGACAAAGGATAGTTTTAAATGAATGTTCATTTAGGATTTAAGATGGTAATATATTTGACTTATTCAGTGTTATTATTAGCAGTAGTAGTACTTTATTCCATCTGTCATTATTATCGTTGACTCGTTGAAAAAAGATCTTTTATCGGGACCATTTGATGAATTCATTATATCCTGCTTTATAAACATTTGTTGCTAGTTTTGATTGCTGTATTCCACCAAAGTTGTACAATTGACTGACTTCTGATTGGTCATTTTAGCTGAGATAATAAGTGGTAATTGTATCATATACACCTCAAAGCTTAGTAAATAAGTCTGTATGTGTTTGGTGGATCGTGTCATTCTCCTGTGGTGGTGTAATACAGACAATGTGTTCTAAGTGAATATTATTCTCACAGTAAGAATCATTGTATATATTGGTGTTAACGTCTGAAGGCGACAGTAAAGAATAGACTCCAGAGTCAAATGACCTTGAATCAACCAATAAGATGGCCTGGCACTACACATCGATGTTGTTCATAATTTTCACTGCATGTTTCACCCAGATTTTTTAATACCAATAATACAACGACTAGGAACTGACATTGGTACACTCGAGTGGAAAGGATGTTCGCAATTATCATCATTAGACTACGTTCATCATAAAGTTAACCATATTTCTGAATTAGTAAATCCTATAAGTGGAACTCATACAAATTCTATTGAAGGATTCTGAGTGCATCTAAAAAAGCGTTATATGATGGTAAATGGCTCCTGATATGATGTGATATACAGTCACTTAGATGAATTTTTACATCGACATTGGTTTTATATGTCTACAAACACTCCTATGAGAAACTGGGACCAGTTTTTACAGCATCTTAGAGATATATACCCTGTATAATTCAGTTTCACTACATATATGTCTTATAAGTACACTTAAAAAAAAAAGTAAATGCCACTTTTCATCTAGAAAAATATAATTGGTATATTCAAAGTCATTTGACTTTGGTGTTTATTCTTTACTGTCGCCCGTCTGAATACCATTCCCGCAGTTCAATACTGCATTAGGTACAGAATACTATATATGTTTGAACATTCTATTTCATGTCGTTTAATGTAAACCGAAATCACACACTCAGTGATTGGTTAGAGAATATAAAACTGTACATATATTTAAATAGCGGTTTGATCACTTGAAAGTATACCTTAGCTTCCATGTCTTGATTTCTTTTGTTACACTATTATTAGTTTGCATACTTTGTTCAGATAAGCTTTGTAATTGTCTACACAGTCTTTAAGCTAGGTGGTGCGTTTTTGATACCATTCCTATTGTGACAGCAGAAGGCAAAACACGGAAGCCAAGGTGCATTTATCATGTGATCAAACCGCTATTTATATTTATACAGTTTAGATTCTTTAATCAATCACTGAGCTTGTGATTTCAGTTTATATCATACGACATGAAGCAGAATGTTCAAATTTACATAGTATTCTGTTGACAATCCAGTATGTAAGCGCGGGAAGGTATTCTGTCTCTAACATCTAATAGAATGGCCAAATAGATATACCGTATTCTGTTGCTAATGCCGAATTGAACTGTAGGAACATGTGAGAATAACATTCCGTTAGCACACATTGTCTATCACACCACCACACCATTCTGAATATATATATATATATATAGTAATAAACTATTATTGTTACCATGTCATGTTGTTTAAATTACTGCTTCTTATTATAATACATAGGCACCTGAAAAATTTATTTAACACTGTTCAGTATGTGACGCTATTCAGATATTTCACCACCTTGTGTATTGCATTCTTTAGTGTTTTGATTGTGTGTGTGTATCTTGTTTTTCGAGCTCGGCAGTATTTCAACAATTAGTTAGGCTGTAAAATTCGGCTACTTTTTGTATCCATCATTAGAAACATAAGGGGATTTGTAGTTGTTTAATAAACCATACTGTTTGTTTTATACAAGAAAATCCACAAAGTTTTGTAGATAATTTATTTTGTGGGCTGAAAAGTGTTATGTTTTTTAGAGGCTTTACTTATTCGTTTAAGGTATGAAAATTCCTATTTCACGTAATTAAGAACACTTGAGTCACCAAGGTGATCTGTTTAGTTACGAAGACACAGATCTCCGCTAGCTCTTGTGTTCGTAATCTTTTAAAACTGAAAGTAACGTTACGTTGAAAATTCAACTCAGATTCTGACTAAATCACTATATTCTTATTTTTACGAGCTGATCACGGATTGATATCAGCTAGAGAACCCTTGAAAACTGGCACTGGAGTACTGGAAAACTGTTTTATCCTAGCGTTTCTGGGAATCATTGGCAGTACGCACCCATCACCAGGATTCGGACCCAGGACCTTCCGGTTACAAGGTAAGCTCTCATACTATTCAGCCACTGGGACCCGATTCAATGGCCAACCATGAATTCTAACTTCTACCAATTCATGATTTAGCGCGACCCCAACCATTGTCGTAGGTGGGACATCCATCCTCACATATGACATCTTGATGGACTTCACCAGTCACGACTTCTCACTAGAACTCCAGGAAACTCCATCCTGTAGCCAGTCACTAACCAGCATCAGATTAATTTTCTATAGTTTGGTCACGCTAAGTCACGAATTGGTAGAAGTTAGAATTCATGGGCCATCGAATCGTGTCCCAGTAGCTGAATGGTATGCGAGCTTGCCTTGTAACCAGAAGGTCCTAGGTTCGAACTCCAGTGGGTGCGTACTGGCGATGATTCCCAAAAATACTAAGGTGAAAAAGCTGTCCAGTACTCAAGTGCTGGTTTTCAATGGTCCTGTAGCTGATATCAATCCGTGATCAACTCGTAAAAACAAAACTGACCCTTACAAACCAAACTATATTCTTATTGTCAATTTAAAAGTGTTGTAAATAATTTTCAGTGAATTGGCTACACAGTCATAATCGGATCCCAGTAGTAACCGAAGGATCTACGTGCTCGTCTTGTAAGCGGAGGGTCCTCCTAGGTTCGAATCCCAGTAGGTGCGCACCGATCAAGAGTCCCGGGTTAGGATAAGACGGTTGTCCGAAACTTGCAGGTTTCCCAGTAGTTCTCTAACTGACGTCAACTCATAGTCCACCCGATAAACAATCAAATCCCTGCAAACTGATGCTTGATAATTAATCATAATCCTATATATGTTTCTTTTCCAGACTAAAAAAAATGATTAATCGTCTATTTTAAGTTATATTTATTTAAATTTCGTAAACTGGTATCAAAATAAATAAATTAAGAATGTTAGGAGTTCGTTGGACGTATAATTTATTAATGTAAGCTCTCGCTATCTTTATTCATTCACCACAGATTCTATTTCTTCCCCACCTATAAATATGATTCAGGCTACCTAGATATTGTCCCTATCACACATACGGATAGGTGGTACAGTCTACTGGCTGATTGGTATGCGCGTAAGTACACGTCTCCAAAGATGCATTTTTCTGGCTGCTTTTGCAACCAACTGCAGCAGTAATGAGGTCCTTACATTCCTCATTCTTTCTTTCTTTGTTTGTTCCTTTGTCAGGGTCAAGTCTATTTCTACTATGGTCTATCAAATTTTTTTCAAAATCATCGCCGATATGTGATTTCAAAAGATGATAATCAGTTACACGGTTTAGTGGATGTTCCAAAACAAAGTTGTGAACCGTATCGTTATGACTCCAATGGAAAAATTTATGCTCCATGTGGAGCTATCGCGATGAGTCTTTTCAATGGTAATTCTGATGATTATTATACTATGAAAATGTGTGTTAATTAAACATATACAGCGTTGGGAATATGACACTGTTTTTGCATGGGCTACTTTCTGGAAACACTTACCACTATAGACTGGGCTCTGTAAGCCGTTTAAAACCAAATGACGTTAGGGAGTCTCGAGAAGTTCTAAAAGATTTAGTGTTTATCAGTGTAAACTACTTCCAAGTTAACAGGCTATTCTAATAATGCTGCATAAGTACTTATATGCACTTTCTAAATGGTTAGGTGCTAGTTTTGAATATAGCTACAACTATCGTATATTGATCTCCTAAGGATCTCAACTTTTCTAGTCTCAAATACAAAGTGAAGTTACTACGCTTTTAAAAAAATGATCTAAGCGCATATCCGAGAATGAGCAACGATGCTGTAAAGCATTCCATAAATGTCCTCGTACGGCTGTGGATAGATATACCCTGGGCTTTTTTCCTCAAAATACTCTCATGTGGCCATTCAACTGAGGTGCCTGTCGGATAAATTCTGTTTACAGCTTTCATATGGAAAGATCTGTTCATGCAAATGCTAACCTCCTTGGCTCATCATCAAACTGGTAGAGATGACGAGCTCCTCTATAGGAATTGGAAAACTCTGATTTCAATCCTTAAATGCAAGTAAGCATGAATCTGTCCCAATTGTTTACAGCCACAGCTTCTAACATCACTTGGCTGCTTGACGAGTAGTTTTTTGGTTTCGTCAACTGTGTATTGTTGTTTGAAATCCCGGTCGACCTATGCCGTTTTGAGTCTATAGCTAGTTACTTTCAGAGACAGCTGGCCTCCTGTTCGATACATAAGATGGCCATTGTCACACCAGGTGTTGCGTCCACACCTACCACTTACAGCGTTCACTTTTGCGGAGAGGTTATTAACCAATGGTATGAAGAGATGAAGGATAATTGTGTTGGCCTAATACCTGTTGATTCATCATGACTGCCTTAGTGGGATCAGAAAGATCATGTGACTTTAATGATTTAAGGAGTTATCAGATATTCCTACTAACTAGTCCTCGTTATTCAACAAATGACTCGTCTGAGTTCAGACTTCTGAATTCTATGTCTAAGTGCTTCGGTATCTGTCGACTGCATTTGATTGGCAATGTTATTTAGCTATTTATAGAACTCATCTTTACACGGATTGTCTGCAGTCTGTTGCAGCGCAAAAAATGACTTTGAGATATCATTCATTATGTCAAAAACTTATGCTAATAGTACCCAAAAGATTGTTAATTGATATTCATAAAAGTAATCTGAACCTGACTTTATCACTCTCAGAAATGTCAAGAAGTAGGCTACTATAATCGACAAATATTTTATAAAATACCATTTTCAGATCTTGTTTAAGACACATGAACAACTGGGACATCTGAAGTTGCAGCTAAACTTTTGTTCTCTCTTTGTGTAAGACCGAAGTAGTTTCGTAAATAACTCGATCACATTTATAGTATTGGAGGACATTCTCGCAAAATGAGGTGGTTCAGACCAGTTTACACCCGGTAGAAAACCAAATACTGTAAAGTGAAGGAAAAACGTCATATAAATAAATAGGTAGCATATGCCACAATGTGAGTCGATGGCATAGCGGTTATGACGCTCGCCGACCATGCACATGGTCCGAGGTTCGATACCCGACCGACGAAGCACTCCTTTACCTCGCTAAGCTAGTAAAAGAACTGGAAAAGAGGTAAGGTTGGGCATGAGGCTGGCAACCCCACCCTGTAAAAATAAACACTGCTACAGAAACTTCAAACCTGGAGCCTGAAGCCCTATGTTCCACTGGGAACGTAAAGGAATAAAATAAAATGAATGAAAATATGCAACAATGAATGTTCCAATAAGAAGTTTTAGTTGCGTGTAATCACTTAGTCCTGTTACCCCCGTGACATCATTTCTATTAGTTAAAACTCCATGTAGAAGTAGTTTGTTTTAAAAAAGATTTATGTTTATTTGTGTATTATTTCAACTGAATTACAAAATAGCTTTTTGTGAAATTCCCTTGCTCGTCCCCATCCTATTTTTAGACTCTTTCACTTTGAAATATCGTGGAAAAGGTCCTAATCTTCTTGCACAGCCTTTAGAAGTTCCAATGACCAATAAAGGAATAGCTTGGCGTACGGATGTTGAAAGAAAATTCGGTAAACCACCAGCTGACTCATGGAATAAGACAGTGAAACCTGCAAGTTGGAAAAAAAGTGCTCTTGAACGTTCACCTGGTGCATATAGTGAGGATGAAGAGTTATTGGTATGGATGCGTGTTGCCGCCTTACCAACTTTTCGTAAATTACATCGTCTAGTGAATCATGTTGGAATTTTTAACGATGGTTTACCAGCTGGAATGTATACCGTTGATATTGATTACTGTAAGTTTGCTTATTTTGTTCATTTTATGTTAATTTGTTCATAATTAGTGTGGAACTGTATACTTTAGAGTGTTGCCTAATCAGCTAGCATAATGTAATGCATGTGAAGATTTGGGCAGCAACACCGTCTAGACTACTGTTCTAGCTGTCCCCATCATTAAAAAGGGTGGACGTAATTCGTGTGACAGTCATAGGGGTATCAGTTTGCTACCATTCGCGTCTAAAATATTGGTTGCTGTCTTGCTTTTGCAGGCTGTGCAAAATACGTGAGGGATTGATTCGCGGAGAGCAGGCTGGGTTTCGTTCAGGTCGTGGATGCATTGGTCATGTGTTCACCCTTCGTCAGTTGTTGGAACACCACCACACGTATTGCAGGCCAACGATCGTTGTGTTTCTTGATATTAGGGCTGCCTTCGATTCGTTGGACAGAACTGTGCTCTGGAACTGTCTGTTAGAGAGAGGTGTACCTGAGAAATTTGTTAATATCTTGAAAGCCCTATACAGCAACACCTCAGGTAGAGTGAGGGCATACAACCAACTATCACCGCTGTTCCCAACCAACAGTGGGGTTAGACAGGGTTGCCCAATCTCTCCATTTCTCTTTAACTTTGCCATCGATGACATTCTGGAGTCACCTCTGAAGGGTGTGAGTGATGGTGGTGTAGATCTGCTACCTGGAGATAGATTTTTCGACCTCGAGTACGCAGACGATATCGTCTTACTGTGCGATAGCATACAGGCTGCCCAAATCGCACTTAATCAGTTGGTGATCAGTGTCTGTAAGTATGGTATGTACTTTGCGCCGTCTAAGTGCGAAGTACTGTTACAAGATTGGCAGGAGCCTGTACCTGCACTCACTCTTGCAGGTGAACCACTTGAGGTTGTTGATAAGTTTGTGTATTTGTATTTGAGTGCTGGCGGAGGGTTGACGAATGAGATTTTCAACCGTATAATGAAGGCTAGGGTGGCATACATCAACTTGAGCCACCTCTGGCACCGTCGCGACGTTAGCCTGGCTGTCAAAGGTCGGGTATACAGTGCTTCGGTGCGGGCTGCGCTGCTCTACGCCTGTGAAACCTGGCCTCTCCGAGCTGAGGATGTGCGGCGACTGCGTGTTCGATCACCGCTGTTTCCGCAGGATTGCTTGCCAGCGTTCGATGGCATCATCGCGTAAGTAATTCTGAGGTTCGGCGGCGTGTGTTTGAATACAGTGGAGATCACCATTCATTGAGTGTTGTCATCCGGAAACACCGGTTCCGGTGGCTTGGACATGTGCTGCGAATGTCATCCCAGAGGCTTCCGTACAGGTCTCTGTTTACTAGCCCTGGGACGGGATGGAAAGGGCGAAGAGGTGGTCAGTTTATGACGTGGCGTCGTGGGATGAAGGATTTTTGTGCTAGATTAGCATCGGTTGGTGTGTCACGACTCCCTGGTTGGGGTCCGAGAGATAGCTCAAATCGATGGCTCGAAACGTTATCGGATATGGCCAAGAATCGTAATCAATGGCGAACATGTTGCGATTTCCTTCGTTCTTCCCTTCCTGATGATAGTTGACGAATACTGTTTAAAGTTGTTAAGTATGACTGTTTTACTTCCAGATGAAGTTCTTTATCCGTTTTCTACTTATATTTTTACTTTTTAATCTATGTTGTTTTATAATTATTGTGTGGCGCATCTTTCTTGGTGCCATATTGTACCAAGTTTTTTTCTGCGTTTAAATAAATTATATAATAATCTAGCCGTCTAAAAACTGAGGTGTCGGATGCAGCTGCTAAGTCAGGTGTTTTCCAGTTGTTAAGATAGCTGGTTGTTTGGCATCATAACAAAACTAAGTGCTGAATTAAGCCTTCCATTTGAATTCCAACCATTCTGAATCATTTTGAATTGACCATTTGTTAATAAGACTATCATCAGAGAGCCGTTAGAGTTGGCAAACTACCACTATTCACCGAGTCAACGATACCTGAACAAACTCTTAGTGATTAAGATGGCAATAATCTTAAACTATCATCTGGGTCTCATAAATAAGTCGGTATATTATTGTTAAATGTAGAATGATCACTTCTAATTTGTTTCCAACATATGTTAGTGTTGACTCATCAAAGAAACGATAAATAAAACATCATATTACTTCGTAATTTTATACGGTCTGTAATCAACAACTTCAGCAATTCCATATTAGTTTGATTATTAAATGTATCACACAGTGAAACAGTATTGTATACTGGATGACGTTTCGAACACAATTTATTGTTCATAATCATATCAATTTTTGTCACACGACTTCGAGATTTGATTTTTATAGTTTTCTCTGTCTTCTCCTATTTGTTGTATGGGCAGTAGAATTTTCCATATATCTGGGACAGGTGTTGAATCATTCCTATTACATGTATTTGCAGTTGATTCGATAAACAAAGCTTCTGTTATCAATCTCTCCCTATACCCTGTGACATTAGATTTTAAAACTGTCATCCTATCCCATCCTATTGTATGGTTGTGTGTAACTGCATGTAGTGCTATAGCTGAACTACTCTCTAGATTTCTTATCTTATTCGGGTCAACCAATCTAGATTTAGCTAGGTTTTTATGTTCGGCTAGTCTGACTGCCCCTGTTCTACTAGTTTGACCTATGTATTTGACCTCACAATCATTGCAGGGTATTAGATAAACTAAATTGTTTTGTTTTAATGGCTCTACAGGATCCTTTAACCGACAAAGCTTGTTTCTAATTGAGTTTGTGGGTTTGAATGCCACTTTTATTCCTGCCTTGTTAAGAATTCTGCGTAAGGCTTCCGAGGTTCCTTCTTTGTATGGAATTATTGTTGATGATTTACATTCCTTATTGTTGGTGTCGTTATTAATATTATTATTATTATCACTATTATTATTACCATTATTATTATTATTATTATTGTTATTATTATTATTGTTATCATTATTATTATTATCACTATCTCTGTTATCCTTCTTTATTTTATTTTTACATTTACTTACATATTTCTTGACTAATTTATCCGGGTAATTATTAAGTTTCAAGGCTTCTTTTATGTGTGTCACTTCCTGTCTTAGATTTTCCTTGGTACTACTTAGTTTTTGTGCTCTGTCATTTAAACATTTCACTAATCCTATTTTTACTGACATAGGATGGGATGATCGGAAATCCAAATATCTGTTTGAATGTGTGGGTTTTCTGTAAACACTAGTGTTTAGCTTCCCATCTTCTTTCCTTTTTACGTTGCAATCTAACATTGGAAGTTCCCCTTCCTGACTTTCCAATTCATAAGTGAATTGAATTGCCTCTACCTTCGAGTTGATGTGCTCGAAAAATCTATCTATATCTTGTGTTCTAAGTACAGTGAATGTGTCATCTACATACCTCCACCATACTTTTGGGGTGGGGGTGAACGTTTCAATCGCTATCTTTTCCCACCTATCCATGAATATATCTGCTACCACCGGGGATATTGGTGATCCCATGGCAACTCCCTCAGTTTGTTTGTATATTTTCCCTTGGAATTTAAATACTGTAGAAGTCAGGCAAAGCTGCACTCCCAGCATTATGTCCTCAATTGGCACTTTTGTCCTAAGTTCGAGTTCTTGGTCAGAAATGAGTTCGTTTCTGACTGCCTCTATAGCCATATTTATTGGTATACGTGTATATAAACTGACAATGTCAAAACTAACCATTTTTTCTTCATTATCTAATTTTAAATTATCTAATCTGTGTTTTAGTTCATAAGAATTAGTTAGTCTAGATTTCGAGTGGATTTTTAGGGGATTTAATACCATGGCTAAATATTTAGATAATTCATAGGTAGGTGAATTTCTAAAATCAACTATAGGCCTAATAGGGTATCCTGATTTATGAATTTTAACAACACCATACATCCTACTGGGGTTATTAGTTTTTGGCATTAAATTAAACCACTTAGACTCACCTAGAAACGGCTTCATTCGGCGTATAAGGTCCGCTGTGGATTTCTTAACTTTATTCATAACTGTGTCTATTGATTTATTAATTTCCTCATATGGTCCTGTTTGTATGTGAGTATTTACCTTGTCCAAATAGTCCGATTTGTCTAATACTACTGTTGCGTTCCCTTTGTCTGACTTTGTGATTACTATATCCTTGTTATTCTTGAGGTGTTTTAGGGCTTCTGTCTCTTGTTTTGTCAGGTTAGGTTTTCCACATTTTTGTCGTTTTAATGTAAGTGCACATTGTGCACGTACTTCTTCAGCTGTTGTTTTGTCTATCCCACTTAGTGCTATTTCTATTTTAGGGATGACATCCTCAGGTTTTAGCTTGTCCACCGCTACATTGAAGTTTAGTCCCTTTTCTAATACACTTATTTCCATCGGACTTAATATATGTGATGAGAGATTGATAACCCACTTTGATTTATCGATCGCCGTTGATTTTGGATTGTTGACTTCATTATTCTGAGATGAAGATTTCTCCTCTAATAATTTGTTGAACTTTTTGATTTGACTATTTTTTGACTTTTTGAAAGTGGCTGATTTTGCATTGTTGGAGGATTGTGTTATACGATCATAATCTACATTGGTAACTATTCCTTTTAGCTTTTGTTTTAATTGCTCAATTTCACATCTGATATGTTGTAATTTTCTAACGATTCTGTGGATCTCTTCTTTCAAGCATAATTTTTGTAGACTTTCTATTCTGCTTCTAACTCTGTCCGTTGGAACTGGAGCTCGTAGACGTAGATATTTAGGAATGATTTCATTTTTTAAGCATCGAATGTTAAAAATACGGTGATTTTCATATCTTGCTTCAGTTTGTGAAAGTCGAGTGAGTTTATTGATAAGTCTTCGTACAGGAAGACCATAAGTCATGTTAATATATGTGTAAAACTTGGGCACTGTGGTATTAAGTAATTCCATATTAGTTTGATTATTAAATGTATCACACAGTGAAACAGTATTGTATACTGGATGACGTTTCGAACACAATTTATTGTTCATAATCATATCAATTTTTGTCACACGACTTCGAGATTTGATTTTTATAGTTTTCTCTGTCTTCTCCTATTTGTTGTATGGGCAGTAGAATTTTCCATATATCTGGGACAGGTGTTGAATCATTCCTATTACATGTATTTGCAGTTGATTCGATAAACAAAGCTTCTGTTATCAATCTCTCCCTATACCCTGTGACATTAGATTTTAAAACTGTCATCCTATCCCATCCTATTGTATGGTTGTGTGTAACTGCATGTAGTGCTATAGCTGAACTACTCTCTAGATTTCTTATCTTATTCGGGTCAACCAATCTAGATTTAGCTAGGTTTTTATGTTCGGCTAGTCTGACTGCCCCTGTTCTACTAGTTTGACCTATGTATTTGACCTCACAATCATTGCAGGGTATTAGATAAACTAAATTGTTTTGTTTTAATGGCTCTACAGGATCCTTTAACCGACAAAGCTTGTTTCTAATTGAGTTTGTGGGTTTGAATGCCACTTTTATTCCTGCCTTGTTAAGAATTCTGCGTAAGGCTTCCGAGGTTCCTTCTTTGTATGGAATTATTGTTGATGATTTACATTCCTTATTGTTGGTGTCGTTATTAATATTATTATTATTATCACTATTATTATTACCATTATTATTATTATTATTGTTATTATTATTATTGTTATCATTATTATTATTATCACTATCTCTGTTATCCTTCTTTATTTTATTTTTACATTTACTTACATATTTCTTGACTAATTTATCCGGGTAATTATTAAGTTTCAAGGCTTCTTTTATGTGTGTCACTTCCTGTCTTAGATTTTCCTTGGTACTACTTAGTTTTTGTGCTCTGTCATTTAAACATTTCACTAATCCTATTTTTACTGACATAGGATGGGATGATCGGAAATCCAAATATCTGTTTGAATGTTCGAGCACATCAACTCGAAGGTAGAGGCAATTCAATTCACTTATGAATTGGAAAGTCAGGAAGGGGAACTTCCAATGTTAGATTGCAACGTAAAAAGGAAAGAAGATGGGAAGCTAAACACTAGTGTTTACAGAAAACCCACACATTCAAACAGATATTTGGATTTCCGATCATCCCATCCTATGTCAGTAAAAATAGGATTAGTGAAATGTTTAAATGACAGAGCACAAAAACTAAGTAGTACCAAGGAAAATCTAAGACAGGAGGTGACACACATAAAAGAAGCCTTGAAACTTAATAATTACCCGGATAAATTAGTCAAGAAATATGTAAGTAAATGTAAAAATAAAATAAAGAAGGATAACAGAGATAGTGATAATAATAATGATAACACTAATAATAATAACAATAATAATAATAATAATGGTAATAATAATAGTGATAATAATAATAATATTAATAACGACACCAACAATAAGGAATGTAAATCATCAACAATAATTCCATACAAAGAAGGAACCTCGAAAGCCTTACGCAGAATTCTTAACAAGGCAGGAATAAAAGTGGCATTCAAACCCACAAACTCAATTAGAAACAAGCTTTGTCGGTTAAAGGATCCTGTAGAGCCATTAAAACAAAACAATTTAGTTTATCTAATACCCTGCAATGATTGTGAGGTCAAATACATAGGTCAAACTAGTAGAACAGGGGCAGTCAGACTAGCCGAACATAAAAACCTAGCTAAATCTAGATTGGTTGACCCGAATAAGATAAGAAATCTAGAGAGTAGTTCAGCTATAGCACTACATGCAGTTACACACGACCATACAATAGGATGGGATAGGATGACAGTTTTAAAATCTAATGTCACAGGGTATAGGGAGAGATTGATAACAGAAGCTTTGTTTATCGAATCAACCGCAAATACATGTAATAGGAATGATTCAACACCTGTCCCAGATATATGGAAAATTCTACTGCCCATACAACAAATAGGAGAAGACAGAGAAAACTATAAAAATCAAATCTCGAAGTCGTGTGACAAAAATTGATATGATTATGAACAATAAATTGTGTTCGAAACGTCATCCAGTATACAATACTGTTTCACTGTGTGATACATTTAATAATCAAACTAATATGGAATTACTTAATACCACAGTGCCCAAGTTTTACACATATAAAACAACTTCAGCAGTAAAATAAGACTAAATGACTGAATAATCAGTGTAGATCCTTATATAGAGACGCACATCTGTTTAAGTTGCTACTTGTCACAAAAGCGTAAATACGCAACTGGCTTAATGATGCTAAATTGGAAAACAACAGATATGGGATAGAAGACAACTGAACAAATATTATTTTATGTTATCAGTTAATACATATGAAACAAGTAATCCCAACTTTCCGTACTTCCCTATAAACAAACTGGTACTGCCGAGTGTAGGTAGACTTCTATCTTTTTCTCAAAATACTCTCTTGCGACCATGCGTTCATTGGCTCTACCAGGTAACTTGTATTCACATTGTCTTCACATGACTGCAGTGTTCCTCATGAAGTGAAAGGATGAATTCGAAAGTTTAGCACTTACAATCGGACTAGTCGATATACAGATCTACCTAGGGGCTCTGGAAATCTCGGTTCCAGACCTACAGTATACATGGGCTCCAGAATTCGAAAGGATTGAATGGCATATGACCGTGTTTTGGTCACTGGTAACAACTGGAACATAGATCCGCCTCCTTATAGATCAGACCTTGAGTCAAAGACTCAGAAAGTAACCTCTTTTAATACAACCACCTACTTTGGTTTAAGTGCCTAGGAAGTATCTCAGCCCTAGCAGAAACTTTGAGATTTTGCGTGGTGCATCTCTTGGTAAATGTAATGTACCAAGTTCGTGTTCTACTAATAATAACTTATACTATTCACTCTTTATTTAAGATTTGTCTTACAGTTCTGTTTTGAGACTGTCCTTCAATTGTCACAATGTTGTAGCAATTGGTGTATTGCGTTATCCAAAGTTCTGTGTGTTCCTTCCCACCCCTTTCAAAATCACATTCCATTTCTATAATACCTTTCATTTTGTGTGTTTTTTTTCATACAGCTTATCCAGTTACCCAATTCGGTGGGACAAAACGAATCATATTGTCTACAATGAGTTGGTTAGGTGGCAAAAATCCAACTTTAGGCATAGCCTATATCGTTGTTGGCAGTATAAGCTTAATATTAGGTCTGATATTTCTTATCCTTCATTTTTACACGAAAAGAAAGTAAGTCTACGTGTCTATTTAAGTTCGATAATCGTTTTTGAAACTTTGAAGATAACATGTAACTAAGAGTAGAAAACAATTTTTAGTGTTGTGAAAGTTTAAACGCTGTGAAATAAATTTAAATTAATTGTTTGAGTTAACTTAGTTTAAAACAGTTCCTTGTAGAAGCTGATTGAAAAACGAACCAACGGAAAAATCTATAAGAAAGAGCGACATTTCAGGTTAGTTTACTTCAAAGAGTGCGCCAGTGGTGCAGAGGTACAATGATTGGCACGCACGCATATGTATTCCAGGTTTCAATTCCTGACCGACGCATTTTTTAAACTTCGTTCAGCCAGCCAGCAGTAAGTCTGCTAAATGGGGAAAGTTGAGTCTAAGGCTAGCGACCCCACCCCGTAAAAAGGAAACTACTGTTACTCAAACCTCAATGCTCATGCTTGAAGCTCTATGTTCTACTGGAAATGCAAAGGAACGATTATTTATATTTGTTACTATTTACTTCAAAGAAACACACAATAAGGAGTAGAGAAGCAATTTCACACAACCCAGTTCCCTCGATTAGTTTGAACAAGAAAGAAACGAACACATTTGCAGAATAGTTCGAATTCGTTTTATTTCGTGGACTTTTTTCAACTGCGTACATCCTGTACAAAATCAAAATACTTAGATATATAGAAAACAGAAAAATTAAGCGAAGAAATATTTACTTTTCAATTAGATCCTCATCTCTGGCTCTACTCTAATATATATATATATATATATATATATATATATATATATATATATACGCAAGCGCTGTCAATCATTTTCACTGCTGATACGAGATAGTAATAGCACACCACATCAGCAGTTGGACTTCTCTTCTTGCGTCGCACTTTCGGTGGTATCGTATCGCTTTGTTTTTGCTGATAGTGGTTAGAGCGATAGGCTCATGAATCGACTAGGTAAGAAATTCGTTAGTGCAACTACCTTAGTGTATTAACGATCATATCAAAATTGCCAATGGGTCATATCAACCTCTTACATAGTTACGTCGAGTTATGGATGGAAATTATAACTCCAAGAATGGTGCAAGTAGACAAAATACTCAGTGTTAAAAGACTGATTGTTTATTATGTAATCAGATGAAAGGGGGTGCAGAGTTCAGATCTTGCTTAGAAACAATACAAAATCGAACAATACAGTGGTATAGTATAATTCCACTGTGAATAAAATTTATTTAGATTAAGTGTTATACAGTAATATTCACAATTTATTGCCGCTCATAATCTGTCTGCCTGTCTGTTTACGACATAGAACTTTGCACATATGTGCGGCAGTTCAAGTCGCCACACTCCACTCCATGTACCACACAAAGTAAGAGAAGAAAGTACAAGAAAGGCATAATAGAGACAGTAAACAGAGGTGTGAGACAAATGAATAGTAGTAACAAAGAACAACATAGTTTTATTGGAAATCATAAGTCACAGGGAGTGGATGCATCTGCGCCACTGAGAACGATTTTGAGCCATGTCACCAATTGTTTCCAACCATTTGTTTTTACCGTCCCGAGGACCCAAAACTGGAAGTCTGCACCTTCCCACATGGATTAGACTAACTGTTGTAGATTTCATTGACTGGTCCCATGTTTTTGTTTGACCTCCGCTAGCTCTTATCCAGTATCCGCTAACATTGCCCATTGTCGAGGAAGGCGATGACTAGGCATACGTAACACATGTCCTGACCATCTCAGTATTTGTAACTTCACAACTTCGTCGATTGATTTCCCCTGTTTACCTAGAACTCGACGCCTAACCTCAACATTGCTCACCTTATTATGCCACTTCACACGGGAGATAGAACGCAGGCACCTGTGATCAAAGACAGCTAATCTTTTCATGTCTTCCACTCTCAGTGGCCAGGTCTCACTCTTAGCCATAAAAGAGGACGGAGCAGACTGGTGAGCAGTACATACGCCCTTTGGTCGATAGTCGAATATCTCGTCTACTCCAGAGGCGGCGTAAACTGGCAAATGCGAAACGGACCCTTTGTATCCGTGCCGAGATTTCGTCAGAGATCAACCCGTTGGGGCTGTTGGTACTCCCCAAATAAGTGAAGCGGTCAACGTGCTCTACCACTTCACTCCCTATTTCTAATCTAGGAGTCACTGCAGTCCAGTCTTGTAACATCATCTTGCATTTGGCGGGAGCGAATAATCATATCAAGGCACTCACACAACTCCCTTACTTCGTTTATATACATGAGTAGAGCTCTGTACCGTTAAAGGACTCGGTTGACCCACTTACACAAAATAATATAATTTACGAAATACATTGAAATGACTGTGAGGTCAACCGCATAAGTCAAACTAGTAGATCATGAGTAATCAGACTGTCAGAATATAAGAATTTAGCTAAGGCTAAAATGATTGATCGCACGAAGATAAGTGATTTAGAAGGAAGCTCAGCAATTCCACCGCATGCATTAACACAACCACACAAAAGGGTGTGAGAGGGTTGAAATTGTAATAAGTATTATAGGTAGGTCGAAAAAGAGGTTGATTACTGAATTTTGTTCATAGAATCTACACCCAACATATGCAGTAGAAATGACTCATCATTCGTACCAGAAATATGGAGAATATTACTACCAATCAAATCAAGAGATGAGAAATAGTGGAATCCTTTGAATGGGCACTTATAACTAGTGTTATGTATCTAGTCTGCACCTAAGATACGACTAGACATTCTACACTTGTCATTGAATAGTACTTAATCGAAAGTATCCAATACAGTGCCACTGGTGGTCAATCACGAGTCCGAATAACTCAGTGTTAACGTTTTTTACTGTAGCACTGAGTGACACGGGCTCGAATCTCAGAAGAGGCATAAGTTCCTTCAAGGTTTCAGATACACCTTACTGACGTGTGTCAACTAGCACGAAACCTAGGTCCAAGGATTCCCGCCAAAAGCCTCCAACCATCTAATAAATAGTGAGATCATATATGCAAAGTTGGAAAGTTGTGTGAGTACCTTGATATGATTATGAGCAATAAATTGTGCTTGAAACGTGGCCATCAGCTAATATTACTGTATAAAACTGTGCTACTCTATCAAAATCAATTTCATCCGCTATGGAATTAAATCATTAGAATTTCTAAAATCTTAGTTAAAGTTGATCTCATCTAATTCCATATTAGTTTGTTTATTAAATGTATCACACAGTGAAACAGTATTGTATACTGGATGACGTTTCGAACACAATTTATTGTTCATAATCATATCAATTTTGATCTCATCTAGTGCGTTTGACAACAACAACAACAACATCGGTGAACTTATTGAAATAGATGCATACATGCAATTTCAGAATAAAGAATAGTAATCTGTGATTTTTTATAGATCATGTTTTCCTCAAAATACTTTGTAATCATATGAGGTGTTGTTTATTCACTGGGTCTGTCTGTTTTTGAGCTCTGAATAGCAATCGTCAAGAAAAATAAGAAATTGTAGTAAAGCTGAATTTACCTCCCACACAGTATAACTTTACAACGTGCAGAACTGCACACTTTTCAAAAAAAGGCCTGATATAAAGCTAACCTTTTGTTAGAACAGACAGCATATATCCTTGTTAGCCCGTGAAGACATGAATAATGTAATAAATCAGATATTGATTGCATGTTTGTGGTTTAAATTTCCGCGATTGTGTAGACAATATATATATATATATATATATATATATATATATAATATCCTGTATTTTGTATAGTAAAGGTAGTTGTTGCAGCTAAATCTGACTTCTGTATTAGCCTCAGTATGGGGGAAATATTTTTAAGTGATCAGTTAGTTAGCTACAGTGTCGTGACTGAAGGGCTCATTCTCTTTAGATAACACTCCGTTAAAACACCTTTTAAACTGTTTTTATGGAAATATTGTAGCATACTGTCTATGTGGCACAGCTTGAAAAATTTTCAACATCAATTTTAAGTACCACTTATGTGTTTATGTTAGCATTTTAGAGACGCATAATATAACCGTTTAGGGTATATGAGCTATGAGGTACACCTTCACACCTCTCGATTGTACCTAACGCGATGGAAGCTAGAATATGACGCTTCCATCTGTTAATGCTTACCCGATTTATACACAAATGAATTATTCGATAACTAAATACAGTCTACAAAACAAAGAAGAAGGGATACTGTCTTTACGTCAGACGTCTTAAAACGTTTTGAAGAACAATACTACTATATATGTATATATCGTTCACCAAAACTTTTCATGAATTAGTTTAAGTGAATTAGCATATCTCCCCTTGATTGATTGTGTTGGACCGAAATGCTCGGTTTCTGTTGATATGTCGATGCTAAGCGCAGACGCTCCAACTATGTTTTAATGCCTAACACTATGTTTCAGTTGCTAGTGACTATAGTTGTGGAATCCAGGTTGCTCACTGCATGCTATTTGTGACTGTCAGCTGGATGTACCTCTGCATTCCCCCTCCCCCCCCAGTGAGTGATGGTATCCCAATTGAGACATTAGGAGGCAGAATTGGATTCCTAGATATTTTGTGGTTGATAATTCAATAAAACTAGATGATTCAATCAGCTATTTTTGAAAATAGTTGCGAGACTCTAGTCAAGGGACTAATGAGATTGTCTGTAAAGGCGTTGGAGACTGAAGGCGTACAATGACAAAATTATTGTCCCTGTCTTCAAAAAAATCTACGTCATACGTGTAATATTCATCTGGTTGTACAAAACGCTTCAAGGAGAGTGATGGCTTACAACACACCATTTACTGCTACTCTCAACAGATACATTACATGAAGAAGTATTCAGACGGTGGTGTTTTACATTGTGATGTGCGACTACTCAAAATTAAATCTCAATTAATCTGTGTTTTTGATCTGAATCACCTGTGTTAACCTGGTCGCGAAAGCTTAGATCTACAACTCTTAAGTATATGTATTCCTGCTACGCGCACCTGTAAAACTTGGCATCTCTTAGCTGAAGATGACTGGTGAATATGAGTATTGGATCATTGCTATCTCTGTAAAGTTGCATGTATGTGTTCGGACGTGATAGTGTCGTCTTCAGCAGCTAACATACATTTCACCGTTAGGCCAACTCTGTAAGTGGTAACCAGCACCCGGAGACACTGCGAAATAAAGGATAGTTCTGCTGGACTAGTCTCTGTTAATGCATCATGACTTCTTAGATGAGATTATGTTACTCAGTCAATTGCTCAAAAATTTATGAAACAGTCGTAGCTGAGAACTGAAAACAATAACAAACATACTTCAAAACTAATGTGATACTCACTAGCGACCGGCCATATTTAGGTAGTTACCTGTGGTTCTAATGGGAAGCAGTGACCAGTAGGGTACAGCAGGTTGAAGGTGAGGCAGTAACTCATCGAAGAAGACATTGCGAAGTGGTCGCGCTATGTCATGGATTGGAAATAGTTAGAATTCATGGGCTGGCCATTGGATCGGGTCCCAGTGGCCTAATGGTATACGAGTTCGGTAGTCTTGTAACCAGAAGGTCCTGGGTTCGAATCCTGGTGGGTGCGTACTGCTGAAGAGCCCCAAGCCGATACTAAGGAAATAGCTGTCCAGTCCTCCCAGATTTTCCAATGGTTCTCTAACTGATGTCAGCTCATAATGAAACCCTCGAACCAATCAAGTATGCTACAGTTTCTATGTAACTTCTCTCGTCTCACACAAGGGGAATAGAAGCTCATAAAGGCTATTTTTGCATCTGCTGTCTTATTCCTATTTACTTTCTATTTTGTGTTTATCTCATATGGCGTGTTTCTCGATACCTCTGTTGTACTAATTTTGAGTTAAATAATAATAACTACGATAAAGCGTTAGAACCTAACATCTTTAATCTATCTTTGTTCTTTTTTTATGCTTTTTACAGAATTCTATAGTCGCCTCTATATATTCATTCATAGAAATTGTGGTCCGATGTCTTTCACTGTGATGAATTATATGATCAATATTTGTTGTTGTTTTTCCTAGAAAAACTTCTTTTTAATTGACCTTGGTAAATGATACTTCTACTGTTTTTATACAAAAACAAATTTTTACACAGCGGTTCGCTATGTACACAGATGCACACACATCCACGCCTACAAAAAAGCACACTGTATGGCACACACGCACACATATCCACACTAGAGTTATTTTTACTTTAAAAATATGTGATATATTTTAAAACCAATAAAAAAATTTCTACTTTAACTAGACATTTATGCAAGTATATTGTACAGTTCTAATTACCGCCATATAGCGTCACTAGTTGATATATCAAGACTAGATTTAGCATTTTTTCAAACACTGAAAGTATATGTGACGCTGAATACACAGTTAATTTCCTTGACTGATTGATCTCTAACTGCCGAGAAAAAGTAAATCGAAGGGAGAAAAGACTCTATAATTAATCTTGTGGTGTTTTGTAACACAATTAAGAGGTAATTTCCGTGCTGCACATACTAACTACAACTTGTACGCTAAAAGACATAAGGACAAGAAGGATCGTAGTGGTGGCTCAGCACTTGCTACTGAAAAGATTTATAAGTAGTATATAAATGTAGACATAAATTTGTATATCATCTGCAAAAATATCGAATAGCGGAGAGATAGATTTTATAAACAACACTTGTGGAGCAACTTGGAACGAAGACAGAGAAGCACAAAACCGAAGATATGTGCAAATTGTGATATATATATATATATATATATATATCATCCCGCTGCAATATACTACTGTGCTCTGCTGTTACACCGGCGTACTATCGAAATAACCGAAAATCATATAGGAGTAGTATTGTTTTGGCTAATATGATGAATGTATGCTAGAGCCAAATGACTTCGAGCCAACTAATCGTATGGTTAATCTTCTAAAATGAATATACCTATAGAAACTGGTCTGTTATGTCGAATGACGACACTTAAGTGAAGCTGGAGCACATTCTGTGCAGGTAAAGTATGTACCACTTTCTCATAGATGTATTTATTTGACTGGAATGTTAAACCAGGGTGAAGTTAAACTAAAACAGGCAAAACTACAATGAGTTTGAACAACAAATCAGAATTCAGATGCAAACAAGTCGTATAGTCGTCAACAAGTGCATAAAAAAGTATGCAAGCATGATATTACACTGGATAATTGTCACTTTTATATTGTAAGGATAATCCTTAGAGAAATCATACCATATGCGTTATATGTATTCATCCAGGTGTCTATAGATCATGCCACTTGGGGATCCATTGATACTCCTGAACTCTGTTATTTAGCCTGCCCAAAATCTTCCGATAGAGTTTGTGCTGACTTCTAAGATTGGATCCGGGAAAATGGAATGGTCAACACGGTGTTGAATGTAACCTATTATGTAATCCTTTCCATTTCTCTGTATGGATTGTTGACCCTGGTATTACTAAGCACTGAATTATTGTAATTGGTACGGCAGCACTTTATTTGGTATTGATCCTACAAGACGTCTACGTAGTGAAGTGTCATATACTGTAAGCACCCAAACTTGATCAGCCCTTCTGACTCCTATATTATACTTATTTGTGAGGACAGTTTCGTCAAATCCTCTTAGATAATCAGCAGGCCTGTATAACCTCTTTGATGCAATGTCTTTACACTACTGATACCATTGCACTGTTTCCCTACTGCTGCCATTATAGGCCTTTGGAAAATCCAACCAAGACAGTCTAGATATATAGTATCTAGGGAATAAGTAAAATGCTGTACCTACTCTCATGAAGGGATTTCGTCTTATAGCATAAATTACATTTATAGCGATATTTGTCTATTGCAAGGCTGTATTATCTTATCGCCATACTCGACCTACATGCACACAAGTCTTAGTGATTCTAGTCAATCCGTTATTGACGCATAAGTCAAATACTCGGTCTGCATGGAACTCATCCTGCTAATCAATAAAAGTAGGCATGGTTTGGAATGACCTTTCGGAACGCTATTTCAGTCTAATTCTCCCTGAAGGTCAAGTTTTGACAGTCCTTGCCTTTGGCTCCGATCCAGTTTCCATACATAAATTAATTGTGACAGGTTACCAATCTGATTAGTTATTGAACCTCGGGTGTGATATCTTCTCCTCATAGTTGCCTATAACTTATTGATTCAACAAGAACACCCAGGCATAAACTAATAAGAAAAGCACAATTAGAATATTTGGAAAAACCCCATAAAATTAGAATAGTGTGCTAGCTCATTACGTCCACCTGTATTACTAGATTAAAATGCAAATAAACAAGTCCAAATGGCTCATTGTTTCACAAACACCAATGAGTGTGGAGTTTAGTAAGAATATTTACAAATCTACGGCCATGATCGTTTATTTTTACGTTAGTAGAATACATGTTACCAAGTTTGTTGCATCAATAAGTTCTGCGCGGGTGGTTTGAAATTTTTCATCACTGAGGTCAAGGCTTCTTTAAAATTATTGTGTTTAACAACACTGTATATTTTTTAGTGGTGTCATTATCGATTAATGTTGGCGATAGGAATAAAGATGCTATACAATGAAATTGGCTAATTCCCATAATATGTGAAACAAAAACTACAAATAACCTAGGTCGGGAAGTAAAGCATCAGTTCAAGTGATCACATTTTAATTTACCATGAATTTAAAAAACTAAGTGGCTAGCGAAAATTTGCTTAGATTGATTTGATGAACTTGGCTGCAAACAGCCAGCCGATCTTTATATCACTTCGATCTCACTAGCAGACACTGCTGGTTGATGTGAGTTTTATACAACTACTTATCTAAGTCAATCAGTAGTATATAGCTTCTTGTTATAGGTGAAGATGTATTAAATCTGAAAAGTCATTAAACGTGGAAACATGTGACGCTTTTTTGATGTTCAACAGGGTGATAAGAAGTGAGTACAGTCACACCATTAGAATTGATTCGAGCTATTTCGGCAAAGACTCCTAGCATCCGAGAAACCTTCACGACGACGTTTAGAATTGGCTGCAGGGAATAAAAAGAAGTGAAGCCCTGGGGGAACGACTCAGTTATTTTTAGAAAAGTTATTTCCGAGTCAGTATATAGTAAAATTTTCTATGTCGAATTTGAAAGTGGTTTACGCAAACTCCCTAATTGTATCTTCCCAACCAATCAAACCCACGCACTCCTTACTTAGGGAAGAACTTGGGAATCTCTAACTATTCCCACTGCAGCGTGTGTCTGTCAATTGTAGTATCATTCCATTTTTTTCCTTGCTCAAGAAGCCTAGGAGCTTATCTTATGACGACCCAGGGAAGAGCGGCCCCTTGATTAGTTATCACTATTATTTCTACACTTACGAACAAACTTAACAAAAAATTTCAAGCCTTACCATTATGCTACTTAATAACGTGATATTAATATGCACGACATTTATGATCAATAATTGGGTATTTTTTACTGATATTGAATTTTTCATGGATGCATGCAGCTGACAAGAACCAACAAGATATAAAGACGTCACTTTACCCTACTTAGTGTGTTCTTCTTGCTTTGTTCAAGTCATACGCAATTGTTACTAACTTACCGAACCGCTCACGCGCATACTTCAGTTTTTTGTGCTTTCTTATGTTTTATTCCATTGTGATCTTACTACAAATATTCCACACCCAAGAACTGATTTCTATTAATGAATAGAAGTATGCAAAAACTGTATTAAAGGTCGTACGCAGCTGAAAAGAAACCACAACATAAAATGGATCCACGCTACTACGCATTATATTCGTCAAAGCACAGCAGCACTGGTTCGCTTCGTCACAATTCAAAGCAACACGCACGAAAAGGTAGAAGAGAACAGGGATAGAAAACGGTGGTTCAATTGAGAGTAACAACAAATTTTAGTAGTCTGAGGATGATGTAGAACAAATAAACTCGTGTCAACGTATTTGCTTTTAAATGATGTCAGTGTATTTTACAGTACTTATTCTTTATCAAGGTCATCGGCTTAAGCATTTGATGTTTAGCCAGTAGGTCTTGGGTTCAATTAAAACCCCTACCCGATTCAGCTTAGCCAAAAGGATAGTATCATCAGTACTCAACAAAATATATACTGCTCATAGCCTGTATTTGACGAATCTGTTCCAGGTAACTGAATTCTAAAGAAATTTAAAAAATAACTTATTCTTAACTTCACGGCGACACCAAGCAGAGAACTCCTAATTTCTCCTGCAAGGCTCAAACTAACAATCAATGACTTTAGGGATTAGTTCTACATCTTAGTCTGTTGTTCTCTTCAAGCATTAATCCAAAAATTAGAGAGCTATCTACAACACAACTTGAAATTATATCGACTGAAAGTGTCCAACATTAAGCTAAACTTTGTTGAGTGTGACGGTGTATCGATCGGCTACATTCATGTAGTTAAATTATTTAATTGTTGCTTCACAATAAGCATAACACTGAGAAGAAAATAAAATCAGCTTTCAATTTATTCACATTTGTTAACCAGAGACCTGAGAAGCTTTTGCAATACTTTCTGAACAAAATTTGAAAAGCAAGAACAGGGCGGCGTCACATGCATGCAATTAATTTCTCAACAAAGACAGTTATACACCACATATCAAAAATTTGTCACAATTTTGGCATAAGAAAAATTCTCTTCAGACACGCACACACACACACAGAAACCAACAAGTGGGAATGTAACTAACTTTGTGCGGAAAAGCAAAACATACCATAGAAAAGAAAAAATTCATATTGTTATTGGTACAAAACTGTACTTATATACAAATGGATAAGGGTGAACATTGGATTCGCGAACTTTTATAAATCCTTATCTTAGATAGTTTTAGACTGATGGTAATATTTTGAAGAAGTATAATTTCTTTCTTTTTTCATTCAAAATATGCCTAGTCATCTAATTCATGTAGCTGAAATCGTTCTTCATCGTATAGTTTGGCTTGTACTACACGTCCAGCAAAATAACGCTGATTTAAAGCACTACACGCTGATTTCGCATCATCTGATCGATCAAACTGTATAAAAATGCGTACATCTTGGCTTGCCATTATATGTATTAAGACACGCAAGACAGAACCATAATTGCTGCATTCTTCCATTACTTCTTCTTGAAGTTCATCGTCCACCTCATTCACTCCGACCATATTTTCAAGTAATAAAACCCTTCAAAGAAAAAAGAATGATAGTGAAAATGTTTGATTAGACTACTAAAAAACACTTTTACTATATATGAAAATACTAAAT